GTTCCTCCCTCCCGAGCAGGTCGACAAGCCCTACAGCTGCCCCGTCTGCCAGAAGCCCTTCAAGCACCTGTCGGAGCTGTCGCGGCACGAGCGCATCCACACGGGCGAGAAGCCGTACAAGTGCACGCTGTGTGACAAGAGCTTCAGCCAGTCGTCCCACCTCGTGCACCACAAGCGCACGCACAGCTCCGAGCGGCCCTACAAGTGCGCCGTGTGCGAGAAGACCTTCAAGCACCGCTCGCACCTGGTGCGCCACATGTACGCGCACTCGGGCGAGCACCACCTGTTCCGCTGCAACGTGTGCGAGCTGCACTTCAAGGAGTCGTCGGAGCTGCTGCAGCACCCGTGCACGCCCAGCGGCGAGCGGCCCTTCCGCTGCGGTGAGTGCCAGAAGGCCTTCAAAAGTGCGACCTGTGTCCCATGGGCTTCAAGCAGCAGTACGCGCTGATGCGGCACCGGCGCACGCACAAGACCGAGGAGCCCTTCAAGTGCGGCCTGTGCGAGAAGGGCTTCGGGCAGCCCAGCCACCTGCTCTACCACCAGCACGTGCACACCCTCGAGACCCTCTTCAAGTGCCCCGTGTGCCAGAAGGGCTTCGACCAGTCGGCCGAGCTGCTGCGGCACAAGTGCCTGCCGAGCGCCCCCGAGCGGCCCTTCAAGTGCTCAGTGTGCAACAAGGCCTACAAGCGGGCGTCGGCCCTGCAGAAGCACCAGCTGGCCCACTGCTCCCCGGCCGAGAAACCCCTGCGCTGCACCCTGTGCGAGCGGCGCTTCTTCTCCTCCTCGGAGTTCGTGCAGCACCGCTGCGACCCAGCCCGCGACAAGCCGCTCAAGTGTCCGGACTGCGAAAAGCGCTTCAAGTACGCGTCCGACCTGCAGCGGCACCGGCGCGTGCACACCGGCGAGAAGCCCTACAAATGCCCCAGTTGCGACAAGGCCTTCAAGCAGCGCGAGCACCTCAACAAGCACCAGGGCGTGCACGCCCGCGAGCAGCAGTTCAAGTGCGTGTGGTGCGGCGAGCGCTTCCTGGATGTGGCCCTGCTGCAGGAGCACAGCGCG